CCCCAGTTTTTCTATTTTTAATAGAGAATGGGTCTCACTTGTGCTCAGGCTAGTCTCATACTCCTGAGTTCAAGTAATCTACTCTCCTGGGCCTCCAGAGTACTAGGATTACAGGCATGAGCCACTGTGTCCAGCCCTCTCTGTCTCTATACTAGAAGAGACACTTGTGATTACTTTCATCTCCCCCAAACCTTGCAACCTACCCATCTCAAGATCTTTAAGTTAATTACATCAGCAAAATCCCTTTCACCACATGAGGTCTCATGTTCATAGGCTCAGGACATTAGGACAAGTATCTCCATATGGATCATGAAGCTGACCACACTGGATAAAGGGTCTTCTCACTAGGTTCCCAGCCTCCATGGGGCTGAGGCTGTGGTGGGTGTTTCTGTGGACGTCTATATCTTGGTGTCTTCTGTCCCTGTGTGGCCATGAGTATGTGCTTGTGCATGTGTGTCCGGACTTATCTGTCAGCTTATTAGCCTCTCCGCAGTGCCTGCTTCCCTACCCCTAGGGAAAGCAGGGAAGTTGCTGAGTGTGCGGATTTGGGTCCCTAGTCTCAGGGACTCTGGGGAATTCTCCCTTGGGCTTGGGGGAGGCAGGACCCAGAGCTTTAATGTGTGCCTCTGAGAAGTGGATGGAGGGGGTGAATGGCAGTTCCTCTCACTCTCAGTGGGCAGGGGGGCTGAATGGGCACTTTCTGTCCTGGCTCAGACAGAGTCCTGTCCCTGGGACCTTTCCCAGCCCCTACTAAAGGCCCTAGAGGTGTAGGGAAGAGAGTTGGGATCCTAGGCATGACCCCCAGAGGAGGCCTGTCCTTGCCCAGCTTAGTCTTGCCCCAGGGGATGGGGGAGGCAGACAACCCCATCACTCCACACTAGTGAGCTAGCAGGATGCCTGGCACTGTGGAGCCTGCCTACTGGGACACCCACCCAGAGGTGGGCCTCAGAAGAGCTAAGTAGTGAATATATAGCCCTGCCTCCTCCCCACAGCAACCTCATTTGTTCTTTTATTCAGTTTTCACTCAGAGATACCTTCTGTGTGCCTGCTTAGGGCTGAGTGCTGGTGAGCCTATATTCAACAAATATTGAGAACCTACTATGTGCTGGGCACTGCTCTGAGCCCTGACAAACAATAAATCTCTGTCTTTAAGAAGCTGGCATTCCGGCTTGGCACCTGTGGCTCAAGTGGCTAAGGCACCAGCCACATACACCCAAGGTGGTGGGTTCAAATCCAGCCTAGGCCCACCAAACAACAATGAAAGCTGCAACCAAAAAATGGCTGGGCGTTGTGGCGGGCGCCTGTGGTCCCAACTACTTGGGAGGCTG